TATTAGGAGACTGTAAAGGAGACAATAGTAAAATAAACTCAATATGATGACAGTGGCTACCTGGTTTAAGATCCATTCTCTTTATATCCCTTTCCTGAATGAAGGATTTTATCTTTAATACAGAATCTCCCCTCATTGCCTGCATCTCTTCTAGCCTTCCTCTCCAATTTTAGATCTGTGCACAGATTTGATCACAGTTGTGTGTTACACTAAACTAAGGCCTGACAAAAACAGGTAAGACAACAATGCAGAAGAATGCGGTGAGGTGGACAGTACTGAGCACAGATAGTTTTAAAACAAAAAAGTCTCTGGCAATACTAAGTGTATCCTCGACTGGGCTGCAACTGCTAGGAAGAGCCACTGCTTAAAGACTGACATACAGAGAAAAAAATGAGAACACTAATCTTTGGGCTGCAAAGAAGTTTTCAAAAGGTATGATTTAGGGCTAAAGATCTTAAATCATTGTAATGCAAATGTTTTTCAGGGGAATGGATAACTAATGGAATGAATCAAGAAAAAAATTAAATACTATGTATTACAATTAGTGATTCAATCTGTTAAGCCCAAACAAAAAACATGCCGTCATGTAAGTTTCCTTGTAAATATCACAAGTATGGGAATTTCAAAGATGATTCCATGACGGACTGTACATAAGGGTACAATGGGAGTACTACCTAGTGAATGTAAGAACTGTCCTGCTGGCTAGATGGATCAGCTAGCAGTTGCCTATTGTCCTCCCCTCTGTGCCTGCTTTCAGCAAAGTCATATGCTGAGCTGACTGAACCCTTATCCTCTTCCATCTAGAAGGACAGAAAAGCAACAAATCTTATAAAACACCACACTCAGTTGAAGTTAAAACAGTAATCTTTAAACCAGTCTTTAATCTACTGACTTGTCCTTGATAGAACAGTGCACATTTGCTTACGCAGGAAGAGATGACCACTTTCTCAAGTTATCCAAATCACAAATTATTTATTAATGCACATCAATGTTACCACAGAGTATAGTTTGTCAACAAATTAAAGGCTTACAAAAAATGTAGATAAGTAATTTTCAATTCCGGCCCCTTCCTCCCCCAAATAAAGGTCTAAAACTAGCGCTTTTGTCCAAAGGGTCTTTCCAATTCTTTTCCCAGTTTGTTGAGTCTTCTGTATGCCAAATGACATCTGCAGGTTTTAGTTCAACAAAGCACTTATATCTCATTGAAGCATATGCTTATGTGCTCTGCTAAAAAGAAATGGATTTAAGTATGTGCTTAAAGTTAAGCAAATGCTTAAGTGGTGCTTTGCTGAAGCCGGGTCCTAGATACTAATATAATCGACGCTATGTAAATAGCTAAAATAGATTATGAGATGGTTATTGCTACACCACAATTAAGCTTTAAAGTAGCTTCCCATTATGACCCCCCATTTTTACCTTCTCCTAGTCACCCCAACAAAAGACGGATTCCCCTGAAATTTCAAATGCCACATTTCATCCTTGGTTAGTTTTTCCAGAAAATTTAGAAAAGGCATTTTGAAGTTTGGCATTTCAAAAGTTAAAAAAAAAACAAAACATTTTCCTAAATCTTTTGCTCAGTTGTACCTCTAAAATGACTTAGTCTACAAACACCAAATACTTTTTGTTATTTGTACTGTGGCAGCCCATAGGGGCCCCAGTCATGGATCAGGGCCCAACTGTGGTAGGCCCTGTACAAACAAAAAGATCGTCCCTGCCACCAAAGAGCATACAATCTAAGTCTGTCATCCTAAGAAGAGATGCCTTGGTGCCCCTTAGTGTGTGTTTGGGGCGGGGGGAGAGGGGGAAGCATTGAAGGGTGAGGAAAAGGCTGGTTTACCAGTGGAATTACAACAATATGTACAATACAAATTTAATAGAAATTGATCTGCTTCTGGCTCCAGGCTTTGCTGCAGCAGCTACTGACCAGAGGCAGACATGATAGCGAAGAGAAAAACAGCAGCAGTTCAGGTCATGAAAACCTGAGGCCACAGAGGCATACTCTTGTAGTCTTGGAATGGAGGGCTTTAGGAAAAGCAGACGTGCATGGAGATAGTGGAGGAAAACAAGGGGCAACAGTGGAGTCGTTTGAGGAGGGTGGGGGGCAGAGAGTGATGGAAGGACAGAGCTTGATCCACATTAATAAAAAGTGTTAACATTTAATTCCTAGATTTAAAACTTCACGCATTAGCATTCCGTGTGGATAAAAGTCTTTCCTGTCCCTTACATTCCCCTTCTGCCGTACAAAACCTTAATTTGCCACCCAACTGTAATGACCCCATTACACACAACTTTCATGTACAGGTGAAGTCTATAGGAGAGAAGCCACTTAGAAGAACTCTTAAGACCTGCTGATGTCTGCGCTACTCATATGGACCATATATACTAATTTACTTTTAACTTTTGGCACCACATTAAAAACACAGGGACATTCCTAAACAAAAACTTAGTTTAAAAAAAAAAAAAGACTAGAAAGTGCCAACTTACCTTCCTTCAAAAGTTAATTTTGTGCTGAATTCAAGATTAACTCCCTATGATATTCAGAAATCTGAGTTGCAGACTTCCTGGTATTTCTGCTATAGTGAGTTGCATTACAAGTACCATCACATGGCAATAACAGAAAAGAATGGAATTGTTATTTCAAATTTCTCTTTGTGGTGATGTCAGTCACCCTGGCAGATGAACCATGGAGTCTGCAACTGAGATTTCTCAGGTTTTTAAGAGTTAGTGGTCACAATTATTTGTTTAAAATATAGCACTCATTACCTTTGCATAGGTCACTTTCCTCTCCTATTTCCCCTATTTTGAAGGATGTACATCCATTCCTCCAATGTAGGTCACATGGATGTCCTGGTCCGGATTTTACAGGCACAATCCCAGACTTAGACAACCAAATACTATATGAACAAAACTGTGCTTTTAATTTTTTGTTGCTGCAAAAGTGGATGGTTGTAGAAGGCTGGGACGAAGGTTTGGCCCTTAATCTTTGTTGCAAGTTAAAACATTTATTTTTGTGCATGTTTTATTCTTTAAAAAGAAATGTCAAATCGTAGTCCTATAGCATTTCACATACTGAGACTGAGTGCATTATAAAAGTTCCAGCATCTTAGTATTTTACCTAGACAACAGACAGGCACAATTCAGTCTTTTTGAGTATTTCATACAATTTACACCGAAATATCTTTAGAGACACAGACATCCATAATACATTGAAAATAAACAACATTCATTTGATAGATGCATTAAACAAAAGCAAGAGTCTTAGTTGATGCACAAATGTATATTTACACCCAAGCAAGAGACATGTTTTATGCTCTTATGGCACAAGTGAAAGCAAATTAAAATGGGCAAACAATTAGCAAGAAAACTGCTGCCTAAAATACAAGGACCGTTCTGTTGTGGTCTTATGAAGCTGTAGTTATCCAACATGCAGAAAGCACTGCTAATTTTGACTACACAAAGCAAAAACATTGGAACCATGCTAGAAACTGTGGTTATTTTAAAAATGGATGCAAGAAAGACTTGTACTGTAGTCTCTAAATTGAGCATCATGCTAGGGATTTTCTCCTAAAAGACTGTCTAATACATGCTACTTATGAGAAGCAATTGGCCTGAAAAAACAGAGAGCAAAGCCAAGAAAGATGCCAAATAGAATGAATCTCCACTATAGATACTGCCTCTCATCCCACTTTGATATTCATGCCTCTTCCCATTTCTCTCATTGCTGGTTAGTTGACCTTCAACATGCATAAGAGTTTATGAGGAATTGTCCCTCCTACTCTACCTAATTCTGCTCAGCTGATTCCTTGCCCTGGATAATGGCTGCAGTGCGATGAACTCATCACTTAAAGCAACTCTGTTGGAGTACATCTATAAGTGGACAGAGAAGGGATGGAACATACAAGTCAGTAAGTAATAGTATTGTTCTAAGAGAAAGACACAGGACAGGATTTTAAAAGACATTGTTATTTACTGGAA